CCAACAACAGTCGATATGCAACACCGCGTCGTCACAATTCCAGCAGCAATATGCGCCATGCCACTGTCACAGCATCAGCGGCAGCAGCAGCAGCAGCAGCTGCTGCAGCAACAACAACAGCATCGGTCTCGGCTACAGCCACGCCCATACCGCCCACGCAAACACAGACGGGGGTCCAGAGCAACCAGCTGCAGCAGCAGCATCACGCACTGCTGCAACATGCCGATTCGCAGCTGCTGCCCAGTCATCTGAAGTGCGGCATGTGCGCCTCGCTGGTGCTGGCCTCGGTGTTTGTGGCCGGGGCAAAGTTCTACTTTGATCACCAGGGCACTGGCCTGGAGGTGCTTATATTTTGCGCATTCTCGGCCACTTTCTTTCTGGCCGCCTGCATGGTGTCGCTGTGCCGCATACCCAAGGGCCTGCTACCCAGCAGCAGCAGCGGCGGCCGCGGCGGCAGCAACAGCCGCAGCGATGCACGCGCCGTGTGCCACAGCCGTGGCGGCAATGCCACCAGCTGCATGCTGGAGCTGAATGATGTCAGATATCTGGATGAGCGACAGGTGGAGGTGAGTGCGGAAACGGCGGCAGCAGCAGCGGCCGGGCCACCGCCATATCATATAGCAATATTGTTGCCAGAACAGACGCCGACGGCGCTGGGCAAACAGGTGCCACTGGATGAGTCACCGCCGCCGTCCTATGATAAGATACTCGTTTAGTCTAGATCTCGGCTTGTTGGGGATAGCGCTTTGGTTTTCGTTTAGGAATTGAGCGTCAATTTCAGTTAAGAGCCAACTGTAAACCCAATCCAACATACCAAATACTTTTGCTCAATATTTTTCTAATGATAACGATATCAAGAACAAATTTATATATACATATACACGGCAAAAATGACATTTGCAACTAGATATACATATATACACATACATATATATACATACACATATATCTATACATATATATATATGAAGTAAAATATATTTTTAAGCTCCAATTAATATTTTTACACTTTGAACTTTCTAATCCAAAACACCCTCACACCCACACACACACCCTCGAACCCCAAGAAATTTCCAGACTCTCTACTATGTATCATTTTTGTTCTGTGATATGCTCAAAAGAAAATCATACGAAATAATCCATTAGAGACAAAGCAAAGCGAAATAGATAAACCAGATTATATAGAAAATAGTTGCCATATAATATAGTAATCTGTGAATATGTAAAATATTCAACTAAATACACATCAAGCAGCTACAACAGTATTATTAGTCGGTAGTCATTTAAGTAACAACTACTCATACTCTCACGTAAATAAATAATGTCAAAGTGCAATATAATACAGATAAATAAAGAACGAATTAATTACAAAATACAATTTGGATTTTCAATATTCATATTTAACGGCTGCTGTTTTATGGATATCGATAATACATAAGTCGCACGGCATTTTTATCTTGCGCGTGTGGTAACACTGTCGGAGCGGCTGCCTCTGTTACGATACAGCTATCGATAGTTCAGTGTTGCCACATATCTAGATAGATATCGCAAATCACATTTGTAATCGACTGGCATTTGTTTATTTACATATTTATTTGTAAAAATAGTCGAAAATGACTCGTCACGCACGTAATTGCACCGCCGGAGCTGTTTACACGTACAACGAGAAGAAACGCGATGCAGCTGAATCCGGATATGGCACAAATGCCAAGCGCCTTGGCAAAGATTCAGTGAAATCTTTCGACTGCTGCTCGTTGACTCTGCAGCCGTGCAGAAATCCTGTGGTCACTAAAGACGGCTACCTCTTCGACAAGGAGGCCATTCTGCAGTACATTATCACCAAGAAGAACGAGTACAGCCGCAAGCTGAAAGAGTACGAGCGCCTGCGTCGCATCGAGGAAAACGAAGTGACCCAGGAAGCCAATCAAAAGCAACTGGCTCGCATGGAGAAATTCGTGAATGCCGAGAAGCCAACCACGACTCCCGCACACAAGCCGAACACAACATTGTTCAAGTCCACAAAGTTGGATGATAAGCCCAGCACATCGTCAGCAGCCAGTGCCAGCTCAGCCAGCTCCATTTCCAACATGACCAACGGACACGAGACGAAGCTGCCCAGCTTCTGGCTGCCCTCCGAGTGCCCCAATGCAGGCGTTGCCAAAGCGCAGGCACCCGATCCTACCATCTATTGCCCCGTCTCACAGAAACCACTTAAAGTCAAGGATCTAATCGATGTCAAATTCACACTGCTCAAGGATGGCGACAACAAACGTTCACTCATTGCCAAGGAGGCGCGCTACATGTGCCCCATCACACACGATGTCCTTAGCAATGCGGTGCCCTGTGCCGTGCTGCGTCCCACGTGAGTTGAATTGAATCTAAAATTGGCATATAAATATATGTAGATTTCGTCTGGATTTGCAGTGGCGATGTGGTTACGATGGAATGCGTCGAGAAGCTCATACGCAAAGACATGATTCATCCCCTCACCGACCGCAAGCTTAAGGAAAAGGACATTATTCCACTGCAACGTGTAAGTAAATCTATTGGGAATTTTTTACCTTATGGGAATTCTTTTGCTTACATTGAAAATGTGAAATCTGTAAATGTATGTAACAGGCAAAAGGCAAAAGGTGTGGCAGTATATATATTCTTAATCAGGGCGACGAACTGAGACGATTTAGCGCCTGTCCGTTATTGCAAATCATTTATAAAATTACATATGCTATATAGCTTTTATATTTCCTCTAAGGTCTTCCTTGAAAAATTTCTTCCAAGTCTTTAATGCTTAGCTGAACGATCACACCTTTCACTTTACTTGACTTTACTGCACTGCACGATTGACCTCCACCAGGCCTGGGTGACTAAAGAAATGCTGCAGCTGCTGCTCTATATATGGGGCGACTCTCACTCAAACACTGAGTCGCTCTGAAATGCTGAGCCCTTCGTCAGGTAGGCTTCGTGCAGTCGGGCTTTAAATTACCAATGGGAGCGCTCTTTGCTTGCTGCTCTCTGCATTCTAACTTCGCTTCACTCAAATATGTATACCAAATGAGTACTGCTGCATACTTATAGAGAACTTAAATGATCTTCTATAGCTCTTCGTCCCTTCTTCTTTTTCTTCGTGTGAGATGTTTTTTTATGAGTAGATAGATATACAGACGCTGCTCAAGAATATATATGCTTGATAAGCTTAAATGTTGATATGCTAAATAGCTTATGTACATTAATATATTTAATTATTAGATTGCATAGACAGCAGCTCTTTTTTCTATTCTATAGTTCTCTTAAGGACTAAACCCTGTGCATAGTCTGCTGGATTTCTAATTATTCCATTCCATAGGCATTTTCAATGGGATTTGTAGACAGTACAATTGATGAATTGTAGACACAGTTGTAGAAAATCTTAAATACCAGAAAACTGATTTATAAAGTATGCCTCGATTCAGATAGACATCTAGATATTGTAAAATGCAATAAACAATACGAAATTATTCATCAATGCGCTTTTTGTAGAGTATGCTGCAGTTTACACTGTAAACCAACACTAAACGACTAAAGCATTCTTAATTACTCTCTCTAATTAAAATAGAAAGCTTAAGCTAAATGTATAAAATTGATTTATAAATACATATATATATTTATTTATTTATCTTTTTTGTTCTTCCAGGGCGGAACGGGTTATTCATTTACCAACGACAATCTGCAAGCCAAGGAGCAGCGACCGATGCTGCAGGTTTAAGCCCAGTACGAATACAAATTAACCAATTAGTTTAATAGTAAAGATTTTAAAGCTGAGAATATAATGTTCATTATTTGTGCAAAATATCATGCGATATATAATTTTGTGAACATACATTTTAAAGCTCTTTTAAATATTTATTAAATATGCGTTTCAGTTAGAGCTAGAGTTAATAGACATTTTTGCTGCAACCTTGACACACTCTTACCCTAAAAAGAATCATGTTAAATAGATAAGTTTTGGCAAAAGAACAAAAACCGTACACGTTTTCTTGATAACAATGTTGATATGGGATTCATGACCTTGAAAGTAGATATATAAAGGCAAGAGAATTTTCAAAATTATAGCAAACCGAAATCAGCAAAGAGCCGCTCAAGCTGAAATCAAATATGAGTCAACAAGCAAAAGTCTTTGAGGTGATCTGCCTGCTCGTCCTGACTGGAGGACTACGTCCTTGTGCTGCGGAAGTATTTCAGCAATGCAACAACGTGGACGTGGATACATTTGTTATGGTCATCGAGGATTGCACTAGCTACATCTACTGCAACGGCGAGGACTCCTTCAGGGACAGCTGCCCAGAGCAAACGTACTTCGATGCCCAGGCGCAGGAGTGCGCCTTTGACGATACGGGCATTTGCTTGAAGGCGCAGGAGGCGACAACAGTTGCAGCAGCAGCGGCAACAGAAGCTGTAGATGCGACAACTAGTGACAACTCCGACGGAGTGCAGACTGATGCAGCAACCGATGCGCCCACCGATCCAGACTCGGAGCAGGAGACGAAGCCAGCGGGCAATAGGCCGCACTGCGACTCCACGGGCGATGGCTACCATCCGCATCCACAGCGCTGCGAGTACTACTATAGCTGCATCGCTGGCTACCTGACCATAGTGCGATGTCCCTACAAATACGGCTGGGATTATGCGCAGCAGCAGTGCAGACCCCTGCCGGAGGCGCGATGCTTCAGCTTATAGAGCACATAGGATCCATAGACTTAAGAATAGTATTGAGCTAACCCAGATTTACAAGGCAACTGTGCGAGATGACAATAATAAATAAGTATTTCTGGCATTCTAATGAATTGAATAAGTGCAGTCTGTGAAGGGGATTTGGCCCAGCGGCGCTGAGCGCTCCAATGCGCTTCCATTTGTATTTGTCAGCCGTTGTCAACATAATTCAAATCTCAACAGCAGGTACCAAAATTTATTTTTGTAACAATTTTAGTTTTTTTTTCCTAATTTCTTTTTTTTTTTTTGGCGGCTGCTTCCACATTTTTATTGCAAATTAATAATGCACACGAATTGCGAGAAATTCGTAAGAGTGTGAGTGTGTGTGTGTGTGTGCTTGTGTGTATTTTGGTGGGCATGTCAATTGTGTCTCGGGTAGCAGATGGACTACGAGCTGATGCTCATTAATGTGTATTATGAATTAACAAATGTTTTGATTAACTAAATTTTGTAGCAGCCAATTAATTAAACAACAAATTTGTGAGTACAAAACTGCAGCAATTTCTCTTCAGCTGGCTTCGTCGAGCTGCTGCTCCCTGGCTGCTGGCTGCTGGCTGCGTGCTCATTAATTAGAACATGGAACCGACAACGATGCTGTTGATGAGATTGAGATCGTTAGAGGAGCAGAAGCAAAGACAGCCAGAAAATACGACGAAGGCGACGACGACGACGAGCGAGAAATCAAATCAACAAAACAAATGGCAACGGCGACAACAACAGCAACAACAACAACAACATCGAAAGGCACACAGCAAAAATTGTCAAGAGATGGACATTCGAAAAATAGAAAATCTCCAACTAAAACCGAAAGAATTGAAACATTTTCGGATATTTTCATTTCAGATGCGAGCAGCAAACGGTTAACAAAGGTGCGCGCTATAGCCAAAAGCTAAATGCTAAAAAGAAAATCAGACTACATTTTAAGAAAGTCTACGCGATGAAAACTCACACGAAAACTGCGAAACAAAAAGAAAAACTCGTGTTGTTATGGCATGCAAGGATATAAAAAGGATACATCAATAATTTTAAAAAATTAAAATAAAAGTAGTAAATGTAAAAAGAAAAAAAAAAAAAAATCAAATAATTCATGAAAATGTGTTTAGTGCACAAAAAACAATTGTTTTTAATATTTAATGAATAATGAATAAAATTATAGTACAACATAATCATTAAAATTATTTAAGTATATCAAAAATAATAATAATAATAATAAAACTATATATAGAAATATAAAAAGTTTATCAAGCGCGTGGCAAGCAAATAAAAATATATGTAAATAGCAACAAATAATAGTTAGCCGAATATTAAATACACTCATGGATACTAAAATAAAAAAAAAAATAAATAAATAAATAAATAAAAACAGATTAATATTTACTCTAGCTTGTGTTATGTATGTGAAAAGCAGCTTAACTAATTATTTAATGAGAAAGTAGGCCTAAAAAACCAGACTAAGAAAGGACGGATTGAGAGGCCGTGAACATCATCTCTTGTTTGAAATAGTTAATATACAAAATATATAATAAAGATAAAAAAAATTAAATAAACAAATATAATTATAAAACAAATGTTTATATATGCAATATATAAATATGTATTTAAAACAAAACAAATTAACTATAAATAAAAAATAATAGTAGAAAATATGAAAATATAAATCAAAAATATTAAACAACAAATATATTAATAAAAGTAAAGTAGAAAATTTAAATGTATATTGCAAATTTTATTGAGTTCAATTTAACATATTTTTTAAACAAATGAATATAAGAACAAATACTAAATTAAAAAATTAAAATAAATAAATTTATAAAATAAAAATTCGTGTTGTAAATTTTTTACGGCTTTGGAATTATTTATTTTTTTAATTGATCAGATCCATTTTTTTTGGTGTGTTAATAAGAAACGCAAACAAAGACTGTTAAATCTATTAGATTTGAAAGCAAGTGTATATGAAATGTGCTATTAAAAATCTGCGTAATCAAAAAAGAATATATATATATTTCTATATGTATATCCTATAAAAAAGTATACAAAAAAAAAAAAAAAAACAAAAACTAATTTAGTTAAATAAAAATTTGTCTCTCGCACTCCTAACTAGAGGATTAAGTGGACTGTTTAGTAATTTTTTATAAAACAGAAGAGAGGCAAATCAAACTACAAAAAATATTTGCAAACATAAAAACTTGTCAAAGGCATTAAATTCGTTTTTATCGTTAATAATAAACACGAATTTTCGATTAAGTGGAGAAAAACACAAGTAAAAATGCCGACAGTAGAAAATATTCAAAAGAAAAGTTTATGTTTAATAAACCAAATTGGCAAGAGGAAAGCATTAAACAAAAAGTTCGTGTTTGATTCGATGACAAATTGAATTCCAGACGAGAAATACCCTTAGGTCCATTTGGACCTAGGCCTATAAATAATCTGCCCGGGTAGTGGCGAAAAAAAAAAGCGAAAAGCTGGACTGACTCAACTAAAAAAAAAATAGATAAAATATCAACATAAAAATCATAGAAAATATTCAACAAACAAAAATTCGTAGACAAAAATTTATGCGCGTCGCTTTTGTTATGGAACAAATGAAAATTAAAACCATGCAGTAAATAATATATATAAATAATAAATTGAGAAAAAAACGAAATCCTTTTGGTGTTTCTATGGAATGACAACGCGGCGTATGAGCGATTATGTGTAAAATATTACGCATCAACGCGTACCCAAGTGGAATGGAATGGAATGAAAGGGGTGGGGGAACAAGGGGCGAGGAGCAAAGGGTGATGATGAAATCACGAAATCACTTGACAAAGACAGCACTTGGACAACAAATCAAAATAGACAGGCTGGCGAGAGCGTTTAGCACAGTTCTTGTGGCGGCTATTTAAAAATACATACATAAGGCAACTGAAACTAATTTCGGAATATATCAAGTAAAAACTGAGCAAAAAATAAAAGAAGAAGCAACAACAGCAAAAAAAAAAATGCCAAAGAGTTACGGAAAAGACACTTTCTGTGTGAACGAGCGCCAAAAAGGCCATACCCCAGGCCAGGGCGTCCTTCTTCCCCTCCACCCCCATCCCCCATCCCCCATCCCTTGTCCGCTTTACGGCTACCCTGGCTCTGGTATTCTTCTGCCTTCGTCGCTCAATAGAAAAATGCTTAGATGCGATTTTCACTCGCTGTGCACATAATGGAATGAAGAAAATTCCGTCTGTCGACAACAACAACAACAAATCGCATGCTGGGCACCAAGCAGCTAGCAAAGATGTCGTAGTTGTCACTTTCGGGGCCTCCAATGAGTTGCAGTTTGCGATTCTCTCACAGTTTGTATGTTATGCACGCCCGATGCACACACAAAAATAGCCCTCTGACAAAAGTAGTGGGTTACCCATCCAATACCACCACCACCACCACCACCACCACCACCACCACCACCACCAACAATCAACACTCGCAGCCAGCACTAAGTAGTTTTGCATGGCATCTAGTATAACCGCAATGGCTAAACAATGGAAATTGGCAGATTTATAGCACAGCCCAGAAACCCACAGATCTAGACAGAGATAGCCATATTGCCAGGCCAGAACGAATCACATAAGAGATCAGAGACCAGCCGACAACAAATCTGAGTGCTAAACGAGCAAATACCCTGTAGTCAGTAGTTGCTTAAGATAAATCACTATACAGCATGGTTGGTATATCGATATTATATAGAGTTCCTGTACGAATGTATGTGTGTAAAGATACCGTAGGGTCAGTCAATTAATTGATATAAATAATCCCATTCGAAGCCCCCGGTTCTATAATAAACAAATATAAAATATTGTTATTTTTCGATTTGTATAAAATGATTGTAGCCCTCAGAGTTACTGTAATTTAGGTATTCTTTGATACATATTGTTAAATTTATGGTAATATGAAAATAAGCATATCGATATTTATCAACTGGTATCTCCCCTATTAAGTAGAATGGAGCCAGTAATTGGAGAGTACTCAATGCCAATATATTAAGGTTCCACTTCTCATAATATGAATATATACATATCGATATATATATCGATTCGTATTGATTAAGGACACCCAACAGAGAGTCATATTATTTTTGATATTTTTTGGCATAAATTGTCCATTCAATTGTCAAAATAAAAATATATGGATATGTATCCAAGAAATATAATATCTATCGATTCTAATATATATAACGATATTTATTATTTTGGCATGCATACATTATGTCGGTAGATTTACTCCTGGACTACAGGCAAGCGAAGAGACAGGCGGATAATCTGTTTATTTTTGTTGACGCTAATTAGAAGACTACAATAGAATGAGAAATATGTTTATTGGGGTGCCTCCTTCACCCTATTATACTCTTTAGTTACTCAATCTTAATGAGAACAGGGTATTAAAATGACAAAAGCAACAAGTTCAGCAAATTAATTTTATTTAAATAAATTTAATTTAATTGCCAGGCAAAGCAAGCGCTAAGCCCCTGCACGCTCAAACATCATCTCATAGCGTCACATCGTATATGTATGTGTGTGTGTGTGTGTGTGTGTGTGTGCGTGTGTGTTGCTATTGTTGCTGTTGTTGTTATCTCCTCCTCTTGGCATCTTTTATTGTAATTTAGCTTTGTCAACTGGGTCTCTGGCTATATTCACGAAATAACCTCTAGGCATATATGTAGAAGCCGCATGAGAATCCCACCTTGGAATGCATGCGAGTGCTGGCAGTTCAATTTCTAAGGGAAAAAGAAAAGCAGAATATAAAATATCTAGATCGTGTGATCTGACTTACTTGATAGATTCTTAAGTTAGTCAATTACTTATTTTTTGCCCCATCCCAAAAGCCCTTTGGCTGCTCTTTCTAGTACTCAAGCGAAATCAATTTCCGTGAATCGATTCAATATTTATGTTACCTTAAACTTTCCGTCTCCTGTCTGCTGTGTCTCTCAGACATAGCCATGTCACATTTGAGACGCACACAGGTTCAACTACATCACAGCTATTCATATCGTGGCTAGGCATACCGTGGCGTATGAGTAATATGCCAAATGCTACGACACAATACGTATACGCCGCGTGCACGCCTCGGGCAGCCGCGAGAGTCGGCATAAAGATCAACGCTCTATAAAGAGCACTCGGCGGATCTCTTAGCGAAAGAGTGTGAGAGAAAATGTTCACAAAATATAAACAAATAAAAACGACAGCCAGACAAACAAACAAATTATGAAAAGAAAATAATCGAAACGAAAATTAGGATTGCAAAATGCGCGCGATTTGACAGCGGAAAAAATGCAGCAAATACTAAAAGGATTCTTAACCTATCTTACAGAGCCTTTTATGTGAGGGACACACGGGCGCACAATCTTCATGAATTATGGAACATGTAAACCCAACAAATACGAGGCAACAGCAACTGCAACTGCAACAGCAACAGCAACAGCAACAGCAACGCCAGCAACAGCAACAGCAGCTGCAGCAGCATCAACTGGAACAACAGCAACAACACAGCGACAATCAGCAACAATTTTGCCTGCGATGGCATAATCATCAAGTGAGTAGAGGATCAAATTATCAATTATATTTAAATGATAAGTAACACTCGATATTTGCATGCATTCGTGAATAATTAAAAATGCAAATTGTAAGTTTAGTTATTTCGCTTTTGAAATGTTTTAGCTTTAATTTATTTGAGCAGTTTTCAGAGATTGAAGGGATTAAAGGATCTGTAGCAAATTGACTACGAAACTTAGCGATTGATTATCTTTAAGGTTTGCATGACATTTTGTTTAAATATAATATAGACACAGGATTTAGATAGGTCTCAATAACACATGCATACAAAATGATATACAAACTATTCCCATCGTGTTATTTCAAAAGTGTTATACACAAACGATTTCTATAGTTTAAGCATTACATTTCTATACAACACAGTGTAATTATTTTCTGTTATATGCTATATAATAATGTTTTCTTTTTATTTGCTAGGGTTCTTATATAGTGTTAAACACAAACTATTTCTTTGGTATCATCCACATTCTTATAGTATTATACAAAGTATTTTCAAAGTGTCATACAAAAATACAATTCCATAGTTTCACACTATTTTTATAGTGCTAAACATGAACTACTTTTATAATGTAAACAAAATATTTTGCAACTATTGTACTCACAAATCCAAAGTGTAATACACAAAAGTAATAATGTAATAACTAATGTTTTACAATCTATATACTTTTAAATAACTACAATGCGTGAGTAACAGTTAAAGAGTATAAACATATATACATTTTGTAATGTTGTTATTTCTGTTAACTTGTTGAATGAATAGAATGCTATATAACACTTAATGCTTTGTATAACAAATTGTGTATAACAAATACAATATATTATAATAAAAGAATGTGATAGTAATATTAACGAAATAAATATAATAGATTAAATTGATATTTACAAAAGTGTATAATACTCTGTTAATTCTAGTGCATATAATCCATCTTACTGTTATACACATTTGTTATATAAACTCTTCTATAGTGTTACACACATTATTTTCATATAAATCTTCCATGTTATCAATCAAAGAGATCTTTTCCGAGCCATATTCCCCAATGTATTCTGCTTTATGATATATCTATGTTATTTATCAAGAATTCCCAAAAGTGATTTGCACTTTGAATTTCCAATCGTCAATTCAGCTTGCTGAATGAACCATACATTAATAATACGGAACGTTCCGTTGACTTCAGGTGCCGTTAATTCCGAGCTACTTAGATCATCCTATGATTTATTGGCTCCAACGGCCGCTGGCCCCGCATCTTAAATGAATATAAATGAATGTTTTTAATAGACATGGTCAGCATGAGCCAGTTTGTGCGGCGTATTAGCCAAAGGCTTGGCCTCGCTCGTAAAATTGACTGGACATCGTTCAGAAGAGGCGACCAAAGAAATGTCACCCATCTATATATAGGGTAGATAGATATAATGTATATATGTATGTATATATATATCTGTGTATATATTCTTATTCACACATAGTTTTCCGCATTTCATATATACTGACAATTTCGCTGTTGGAGGGAGCACAGGCAGTCGACCACAAAGCTGTCCAAAATAGCCAAAAGTCAAAAGAAGAAAAACAACAACAACAAGAAACTAGAAAAATTGTCAAATAAATGAAATGCTCATTGCAATTGCCAAAATCCAAAGAATTTTTACTAGCAACTAAATCTAATTTCGAACGCGACGCAGTTGCAATTAATGCTCAGCTGCCATTAAGTGTCGCCTGCTGCATCTGCTCCAAATGTTTTCCGGGCCCCTAGCCTAGGGCATCGAATCACAATTTTAGCCAGCCAGCCAGCCAGCCAAGTAGCCAGCCAGCCAGCCAGGCAGCTGGCCAAATCTACTCTATACTATTTATAAGATTAGCTGACCCAATTGCCCTCGACTACAACGAGAACTGCAGATTGGCAGCATTTGCAACTCATGTCTCGATTCCACTGCCTCTCGATTCCAGACCAGCTTGCTGAGCACTCTGCCGGTGCTGCTGGACCAGTCCCAGCTGACGGACGTCACCATTTCGGCGGAGGGGCGTCTGCTGCGCGCCCATCGCGTGGTGCTCAGCGCCTGCAGCAGCTTCTTCATGGAGATCTTTCGCGCACTGGAGGCCAACAATCATCCGGTCATCATCATACCGGGCGCCAGCTTCGGCGCCATCGTCGCGCTGCTCACGTTCATGTACTCGGGCGAGGTGAATGTCTACGAGGAGCAGATACCCATGCTGCTCAATCTGGCCGAGACACTGGGCATCAAGGGACTGGCCGATGTGCACAATAATAATGTAAATATATATCCATAATCCCTGCTGATCCATGCTCATCTTCCTTGCTCCTTTCAGCTACCCAAGACAGCGAAAAGCACGCCGAATGCCTGCATGGAGCCGGCCGGCGTGGACAAGCCACTGGCGTTCGATGCCACTCCGACACCATCGCCTGCGGCCACGCCCACGGCCACACCCAGAGCCACGCCCACGCCCGCAAGTACGCCCACGCTGGGCATGTCCAATGCCACGCTGCAGGCGCCGCTGCTGGCCAATAAGCTGGGCTCGCCCCTGGAGAATTTCTTCCTGAAGTCGCTGCAGTTCTATCCGAATCTCTTGCCGCAGCCCCTGAACTTCTCGCAGACGGCGCTGAACAAGACCACAGAGCTGCTGGCCAAGTACCAGCAGCAGTGCCAGCTCTATCAAAGCAATCTCGAGGAGGAGGAGTGCTACGGCCAGGCCAAGCGCCTGAAGACGGGCAGCGGCGGGGCGCCAGGAGGCGTCAACAATTCACAGAAAGACATCAAGCGCATAGACAAAATCGTGGAGAATCTGAGGACGAGCAGCAGCAGCAGTAAGTCGCCCATGGAGTGCGGTGCTCCGAGCTCGATTGTGGCCACGTCACCAGTGACACTGGCGCCACAGGCCATGTCCCACTTCTCGCCCCAGCTGCCCGTGGTGAAGACGTCGCCCAGCTACAGCAACTCCCTGAATCCCGCCGGCCATCTGTACAGCGGCGCCAAGCTGCCGAGCTATAGTGCCGCTGCCACGCCCACAACGGCACAGCAAGCCGCCCAGTCGCACCTGGCCAGTCCGCCCTACATAACGCCCGAGGATCACGTCAAGCTCCAGCAGCACATCGAGCAGTACGCGGCCTGCCAGCGCGAGGCGGCGGCTGCTGCTGCGGCCGGCCAATTGATCAGCACCAAGTCGGAGCCGAATCTGCTGTCGCTGAGCGCCGAGAAGATGGTGACGCCCAGCAAGCCGCCATCCAACTCCAAGCTCTATGCCACCTGCTTCATCTGCCACAAGCAGCTGAGCAATCAATACAATCTGCGAGTGCATCTGGAGACCCATCAGAATGTGCGGTAAGAGCAGCAGAGATTTCAAATGTCCAAAAACTGACTCCGAGTCCCTTTCAGCTATGCCTGCAATGTCTGCTCCCATGTGTCGCGCAGCAAGGATGCCTTGCGCAAGCACGTCAGCTATCGGCATCCGGGCGCGCCGTCGCCCTGCGAGAACGAGGCGCGGCGCAAGCGCGTCACCAAGCTGGCAGCTCAATCGATCTCCGCCAGCGCACCGACGGCGACAGCAACCAGCGGCGACATGGCTGCGGGCGAGGTGCCCAGCACAGGCTCCGGCTCCGGCTCTGCGCCTGGCTCCGGCTCTGGTCCGGGCTCGCTCTCCGGCAATCCGTATCTCTTTCTACCCAATCAGTTTCAGCTGGCCGCTGCAGCAGCTGCCGTAGCCGTGGCCGAGTCGAATACGGATGTGGCGCACGAGGGGCCCGTGTCCTTGAAGAGTGTAACTCCTGTCGCTCGCAATGGGGAGGCAGGCAGCGAGACGGACACGACAACCATCTGAAGCAGCGCACATATATGCTTCCTCACACACACACGCATGCACACACACGCACATACACACGCTCACAAACACGCTCTCACTTGAAATTAACCCCACCATCTTAGACCCGGCTGTGATACTTAGCACAATTCGTCGATTTAATTTGAATTTATTCTCTCGTTAATTTTAGCGCCATTTGTTAGAGTTTCGCTTGCACTTATCGATAGGCGAGTACGCTTCGATAGGTCTGCAAGTGGTGGCATCACTGTCACAGTTTGAGGGTGACACGCGCTAACAGTTTGGGCAGCACTGAGTGCAGGCATTCAAAACTGTTTGCGCGAGATCAGAAACTGTAATATCGCGAGGCTTTCGTTTTACCTTCTACAAAGACCAAACACACACACACACACGGACACACATACACACGCCTACACATTCTAATAAATTAAGAGCACTTTTTATAAATATTATAATTATATATACCAAGAAAACACGCACACACACATGCACACAAAAAGACAAGGTGAAGACCTACAAAAAACCAACAAGCAAAATAAATTTTAAGCCACAAAAAATACACAATATGTTGATGTACTCTTATTTTCATGCAAAAACTAGTTTATTTCATTTCATAATACAATAATTTACGTACGCTGGCGCACTTTATACATATGTTTAAACTGTATTTCAGTTGTATAAGTATCAAAAAATTTGTTTAAAACACATACAAGCATAATGAAGTGGGTTTGGGTTTAAATATTCCAGTGTTGCGAACAGAAAAGCTTTATCAATGATATGATTAGCTGGCAAACTTTTGAGCTTAAAATTAGAGGACTAAATGAGTGCATTATATAAATATCTAAATGTAAAAAAAACATGCACTTATATGAAATGAAGCTGATATCGAAGACGATGCCAAAATAGGAACTCGGCGGCAATTACAGGGGATTTTAAATGGATCTGTTGCTCTCCTCCGTTCCCTCTTCCTGGTTAAGTATAAAAATAAGCGCTGGCTGCGCTTTTTCTTATTTTTTGTTTTTTCTTTTCGTTGTTCTGTTCTCTTTTGGCATGGTTTAAATAGTTTCGACGTGCCACACTTTGGTGTTGCAATCCTGACCAGTGGAGATCACAGTATTGTTGTCCAGCCACACTAGGCGCGTAATTTGCGATTGGGGATGCGCATCTAAGCGAGGAATAAAATATATTTTATTTTATATAATGCAAAAGAGTTAATATTGGCTTACTCTTGATAATGGTGTGCTTGGCTGGATTGGTCACAGACCAAATAATAATAGTAGTGTCAAGCGAACCGCTGGCTACCAGCAGCGAATTGGGTGACCAGGCCACAGTGTTAACACGCGCATTATGGAAGCCCCATTCCTTGTTGTGAGCCGGCTGCAATAGCAAAAGAGAAGTTAGAGTACAGTTCTATATAGTAATAGCCATCTCTCACCTTATATTCCTCCACTGAGTACAGCACAACCTTGCGATGAGCATCACAGGCAACCAAATACTTTTGATCCGGCGAGTATGCGACATCGGTGACGGCGCCCAGATGCTCTAGTTCAGTCTTCAGCTCCAATGTGCCGTCTTTTAGTGCATAGATATGCAGTTTTTGGTCATCACCGCCGACAGCCACATCCAGAGTTTCAGAGTTTGTGGCTATGGAGCTGGCCTCGTATTTGATGGGCAGCGAGAAGATCTTCTTCTGGCCCTGCACCAGGGTGATGTCCTTAATGCACGCCACAGCGATTATGTTTTCACTACGCAAGATGGCCAAGCCGCGAGGCTGGCAGTTCAACTTGACCACGTAGTCCGTGTAGTTGTTGCCCTCGACGCTGAACTGGCGTAAGCTGTCGTCAATGCCGCACGTATAGACGAACTCGTCCCAGGCGGCGATGCCGTTTATCTGATTGCCATGACCAGTGCCGGTAACGCGATCGTTAGTGCCGTTACCGGAGTTCCAGTTGGTCACAATGCCGTCATGGCTGCCCGTATAGATAGTGCTGCGATCATCACTCAAGGCCAACACCGTAATTGGCTTATTGTGACCCTTGACCACTCGCAACGGTTTGCTGGGATCGTCCACATTCAAATAGGTAATGATGCCAGAAAGCGAGACGGTTATCAGGTGCTCCCCCTGCCACAGGCACGACACCTGCTGATCATCCACGGTATTGCCCATGACAAACTCGCTGATCAGTTCGCGCGACTCAACCTGCCAGAGACGGCAGGTCTTGTCGCCCGAGCAGGTGAGCAGCTGAGTGCTGTCCGGCTTCCATGCGACCGCATAGACGCCACCCTTGTGCGCTGGCGAGCCGAATTCGCCCACGAGATCCGAGCTGGTTGCATCGTACAGAAACACTTTGCCGTCAAAGCCCGCCGAGGCAAAGAACTTGCCATCCGGCGAGTAGCGCACGGCCTGCACAAAGCGCGAATGGTCCTGCTTAGTCATCTTAAACTTGAATGGAGGGCCTTCGAAAACGCCAATCGTGTTATCCTCGCTGCCTGCAATTCCACGGATTAGTCAAGCCGAATATATAATATATAAAATGGCATACCAGTCACAATCCTGAACGGTCTGGTCGGCTTAAAGTCCACCGAGTTGATGGGCTTGGACTGTCCACTGATTTCACCCACGGATGTGCCCGTCTCGGACATGAAGACATGGCCGAACCGCTCGCGTCCCTCACCTACAGCGACCATGCGCTGATTGTCCGCAGACCAGCTAATGTCCTTGATGGGTCCTGCGATCGGCTGGAATTCATTCTTCAGCAAATGCTCCTTGTTGACTGTATCCCAAATGCGAATCTTGCCCGAGGCATCTGCGAGGCGATAAGAGAATATCGTGAGTGGACGTCATATTATGCATACATTGATATATTAGGTGTAGTATAAAAAAAAGCACATTTCTAATCAGTTTTCCAGTAATTCCAGTTAGGTACGTATGTAAAGATAAACGATTGTATGCAAAGCAAGATAACATCAATGGAAAAGCTAGATAACATTTACTTTAATATTCGGCTTTAGCTATATAAATATATATACATATATTGTATTATAATCGATTATAATCGAAAAAAAAAAAAAAAACTGTTCTGCTATGGCTTCTGCAATTTCTTTCATTATGCTTCAGTTCTTTTTGCAGGCGATAAGATATACTCCATATATGTAGTATGGTAATGTTGGATAGACAGCTGACGTGAGTCAGGGCCATATGTGTTGATGGTGATTTTTAAGGCTTCTTGCCAGTTGAGACTTACCGCCGGATGCAATGTAGAAGCCGCTGGGCGAATACTTGGCCACATTGACTGCACACGAGTGTTCCGTGTAGACATCGGCAATCGCTGGGTTCTGGACAGGCGATGATGGTAATCGGAGCGTGACACGAGGCAAATCAAGAAAAGGCGCACAAATAAGAAAATTCAACAAATTAATAAATTCATATTTACAAACAAATTTGTTTGCGATGATGAGAATGGGGGAGGGGAGGGGAGAAGGAGCAGCAGCAACCACAGCGGCAGCAAACCAACATCATAATTATGTTGCGTGGGCAATGGAACAAGAGACAGATAAAAAGAAAGAGAGAAAGGGGGAGAGAAATAGGCAGTGTGAGAGCGAAATTTCTGTGTTTGTTTTTGTGAATATAAGCCGTGCCGGCTATATAGAAATATATATACACATACATACATACATACATATAGATATATGGTAAATAAATATAGAACAGCCAACACACGCACACTCACACTCGCACACACACACACACACACACACACATGCAAATAGAATGATCGCTGTCAAGTGGAAAATAACGCTTGAAAATTGCAGCTGCCGTGCGCTGTCCAAAAATAAAACAATATTTTCTTTTTGGAGCAGGCGTCTCATATTTTTGGTGCCCGTCATTCCTGCCCAATTCGAGATGATATCAAATGTTCTTTTCTTACCTCAATATTTCTGATTATCACCGAATTGCCATTGGTGTACAAAAAGTTCTTGCCCTTGGGATCGGAGCCCAAAACAATGGGTTGGCCACGTTGGGTGCGCGGCAGCGACGCATAGATATTTTCTGCAAAAAAAAAAAATTATCAAAATTCAAATCGAGTTTGAAAATCAATGTAGAAAATGTAAACTGCCTGAAGATAGAAAGAGAACAGGGTGCGGTCGGCCGGCGGTCGTTTAGCCGGTTTACTAAGCTATGCTTTCACCGGGTCAAGGGCTACTCCCCACTTCCCGCACTTTGTTTATCTAAACACCGCTCTGCGACGACGAATGCGTGAATGCCATTTATGGTCATATCAGAGTGCTTCCGCTGTTTTTACCGTTGCCGGCTGACTCATTTTCACCGTCGCTGCTGTCAGCTTTCTCAATACTTTTATGGACATTTTTTAAACTAATATAACTCACTGTTTTCGTAGTCGGGTTTTTGTGGTTGCGCCATTTCACTTCTTTTAGTGGTTTAATAGTTCTTATTGGCTCTGTATATATAGCAAATTGTGTTATTTGCACAAAAACACCCGCACTTGCACTGTATGAGACCAGGGATGTCGAACACTGTTGAATACATTCGTTGTTGTTTAGTTTAACAGCGGGAAGTGATTAACATTAGTCTGTAATGTTATTAATAGAATCAAATTGACATAAATTTTTTAATCCTTATTATTGTTATGGGCTAGGTGAATTAAGTTAACTATTTACGTATTTTATGGGAAATTTGCAGAGATAACTTGCTTTCGAGTTAAGCATCTGTTGATCATCCATCAATAGACACTAAAATACTATAACATGTCTGAAACGAGTACAGGCAGGCCGATTGAGACTATGAAAAAGGGACTGCTAATTTAACAGTCAAATGCTTAGAAATTTATGACGCGGGCTGATCATTGTATGAAAATGAAACTGCTTTGATTCGGTCATCTGTTACAAAAAATTCAAACGCAAAGTATTTTTTATTATATTATATCACTTTTTATTATTATTTTATGAGAGTGATGGCTGACGATGATGTCGAAAGCTCTAAAGATCTACTAAGATTCATAAGAGTCGTAACAATATCTTTAATTTTAAAGGCAGAACTTTCGCGCGAAATTTCAAATAGTTAATAGAATAAATAAAAGCATATGTACGTATTCTATTCTCCACCCCTCAATATTAATATAAATTTTATCAATACGCATACTAATATTAATTTCCGTAATAATATATAGCTCAAAATTGCTCTATTCTAAAATAATGTTAAAAATTCTAGTTGTGTAAAGTGTGCGGTAGAAACAAAGCCAAAACCACTGACCAGAGACACTAACCACTCTGGTTAGTGCCAGAGAACAGTGGGCAAACTATGTAAGTGCCTATCGAAATGGTCGATAGATATTTGAAAGTCAGCTGTTCTGTTTCGATAAATAATATTGTTTACATGTGTTCAATTAAGCGGGTTTAATATATTTTTATTTTTGTTTTGTTTTTTTAAATTGTTTACAACTAAAAAGGTAAAATATATTATTTTTGAATGAATAAATGAATTTAATAAAAATGCTACTTTCAACGCTTCGTATGTAATACACGATGGACAAAAAGAAGCATTCTCGTATTTATGGTTATTTGAAGCGTGGGACCACTCATATCCATTGACTGTTTACACTTATGAGCTAAAAATTAATGTAGTTTGTGCGCAACCCAAAATTTATGGAGAAGTAGGTGAAGTGGAAACCTTCTGCGCTCAATTAATTTGAGGAACGATGACACGAAAACCGCGGAAAAATTCGCATAATTCTGCGAGGCAGGTTAGTATATAATATATAAAAGTATATATAAATTGGATATTAATTATATTTTTTGATTATCTAGAAACCGAATGCAAAAAAAGTAACCGAATATCAGCCAGTCAAGAGCACATCGGGGCAATTGACAGAGGATGCGCGCCGGAGTCAAATTAGAGCTCTAGTGGACGCAAGTGTCCAGCGGGGAGAGTTGGCCAGCCATAACTATTATTTCATTGTGGTTAACTGCCTTTCTGGTAACCACATGCCCTTGGATCTGGCAGCTGCACAGTTTTCTCTAATTAATGGCCTGCAAAACATCCACTATACTCCGGTCGACCAGGGTAAACAGAAGATTGCTTTGATTATGTGTCCTCGTGACTAATCAGACGTGCTTTGATTTCAGCGCTGGACAATGATTACTTAAAAGGAATTCATGCAGAGTTGGTTGAGTTTCTTCGATTAAAATGTGATCCGGAGGATGAACTGCCACCTGTATTCACATTGCAAAGAAAAGCAGGAATTGCCAGCAAAGCCCTTAAGCTGCTCAATGGTGGGGAGGCTAGCCAGATTACTGTCTTGCCTATACAATTTCTTTGCCATGCATTGAAGCAAGCTACATGCAAGGCTGCCAAGTTGCCGCCTCCAGATTTTGATAATACCCATTTGCAGTTTAATCAATCGGATCATGGTTGGGATCGCCACAATCAAATAAATCTGTCAAAACAATTCTGTATATCCTACATCAAGCGTTGGTGCTTCTCATTTGCGAATTACATGTGCTCCGACTTAGGCATCAAGATGATACCTAACCGCCACATGCCCAGCGACCGCAATGATTCGGATGTTGAAGGATCTCCTGATCGTGCTAGCTCATTGGATGCGACAAAAGTAAATCAAGAGGCAACAGTAAGCTATGAAGAACATATAAATCAAAATGCCTTGGATACTCTGAATAGCCTCGACTTGGACAGCATTTTCGAAAATGACGATATTTGGGAATCAACAGAAGAACAGAATAGTTCCAGCATTCAAGTGAATGATCACAGTGAAAAGGAAGATATAATATTAGTTGAGGATGAAAATTTGGAAATAGTTCCGCCACCGCCACCGATTCTAGATCAAGCACTTATAGATGATTGTGCAATATTTAAACGTAGACCCAAAAAGCTTCAGATTGAGTCTGATAACAACGAAATCAAACATCAAGCCGAGGATAATAAAAGCGAAAAAACTGAATGTCGAACTCACACAAATACGAAACAGGATTATCAATGTTTGAATACAAACAGAATTAGCGGACTTCAAGAGCCTGTTGCATCTGAAATAGGCAGAGATGGATTATATCGCAATAAATGTCGGTCACCTATAAGACAAATGCATCAAAGACCAATCAACTGTCTTGGACGTTGGCGCTCTAGATCACGCTCCCGTTCGCGATCCGTTAGTCGCAATAGCCAGGACCATGGAAGATATTCATCATCTAGAAAAAGTAGACGTAGCAGATCTCGATCTGAAGAGGGAAATATTTCACCAAGTCGCAGATTACTCATAGATCGAAATGTTGGACGTGACAGAAAAATCTCACCTATCAGATGGCAAAAATATCATGGCAGTCCTTCACATAGTCCACGAAGACTAAATTGTAATATGAGCGGAGGTTATCGTAAAAGCGACAGAAAGAGCCGAGAGCAAAGGGAGTACTCGATTAGTCCCCCGTTAGGAGCAACAAACAAGTACTGTACAACCGAAAGACATAATTCTAGATGTGAAGATGTAAGCAATGATCAAAACGCTATACAACTTGCTCCTCAATGCAGCCGACCAGCATTTTCGGTTTCCCAATATTATCCACAGCATACAATAAATATACAAAACTTTCATATACATTCAGTTCTGAGTACTGAAAGGCCTGTAAGCCCGCAAGCTTCTAAAATACGAATACCTGTTTTAACGGCGGTTCCGTCTCAAATACCATCTCATATCACATATAACAATTTTGGATCACATTTAAGCTACAATCATGAAGCGTACTACGAGGTACAGCAGTCTATGGAGTACCAGCATTCACTGCTATCTTATTGTGAATTACGTTCTGGAATGAAAACAGTTGAGATGAAAGATCTACCAGAGAATGACTTACGACATCGCCTGAAAATGCGCAATGAGTCCTGGAGTCAGACGGATGATTATTCAGGTCAACAGAACCTTGCTCAAGCATACCAGATGTCAACTTGTCCAATGCCATGGAATAACGGATATGGGAGCAATTTTCCTAATAATTTCTAATAAGTTTTTTAATCAAATCTATAGATATAGATTTATAGATCATATACAATTATTACTAGAGGTCCTTCGATTGTATATATTTTATTTCTTATATATAATGAAAGAATCTTTAAATCAGATATCAAATCTTGAAACAACTGTTTTAATGGATATAGCCGACATTTCGTAAACTTTTGATGTTGCTTAACTGAAGATGAATGTTTTTTAAGTAAAGGCTCCTTTTACCAAGCCCGTATATAGTCATTTATAATATAATCTTATTATTTTTGTAAGTTTCTTTCATGGATGTTATGAATGCCTTTTTAGGAAAGCTATTATGATCTTACAAAGAGATAAAAGAGCTAATGAGCCTGCTCAGATTATGACCAAGAATGCTGAGCAATAAGTTTTCCAAGAACCACTACCCACACCATAGTATATAGTATATATTTGTAAGAGACCAATTTCAAGCCTCACAAATTCAGTTAAATATTTACTAGACTTAGGGGTTGACTTGTATAACTAGCCGAACTCCAAAGAATCCAGGTTTATACAAAACTAAACAGCAGATGCCTTCATGGAGTCACAGACCTGAGGCAAATATGTTCAAATTACTAAATAATGGCACTTTATTTTCTTTTATATTTCAGTCAAAACATTTATTAAATATATATTTTGTGTGTGTTTTTTTACAGTATTCTAAGATGTTTTCTAAAATAAATAAATGACTCCAAACAATGTATTTTTAATGTTTAAAATCGATGATAAATATATAAAATAAAAAATTATTTCATAGCAAATAGTTAAGGTCAGAGATTAGTTATGACTGTAGACTCTCCAAAAGCGGGGTTAAGGCTGCCAATTCCTGGATCAATTCGGGGTCCCTAACGACATTATTTTCAATATTCTTTAGCAGTTGCTCTAATTCATCGATGGTTACATCATTTACGTCGGATTCCACAGAATCAACGATGTTATCAACTGGCATAAGGCAATATAATAATATAATATGAGCATATAACATATAGTATGGTTTAACAGTATGTATCTGATTTACGGGGTACCTGTCTCTTCAATTTCCACCTCGATGATGTCGGGGGACGGCGCGGCATCGACAGATACCTCGTCGTTGATTTCGGACTCCACCCAATCTACGTTGTTGTCAACTGGCATAAAGAAACATATAATAATATATTATATTATGTCTAAGATTATGTATGTTTACTGGGTACCTTTCTCCACACTTTCCACGTCGATGAAGTCGGGAGACGACACGGAAGTAGTGTTTCTCATGGCGCAACGCAAGGCATGTCTATTGCGTCGGTTCAGAAAATTGAAGACCCTGGAGCAACTGTGGCACGTGTAGATCTGCACTTCGCACCGGTGTCTCTGGAATTGGCATTCCGTTATAAATTTGCGATTGCAGGCACTGCAATCGTATTTCTTCTCCATGTGATGACTCTGATAATGGCGACGCAGAAGGTCTAGCCGTGCCCCGCTGTACTCGCAGTCTTCGACGGGACAGCGAAAGCATTTGATTGGATTTGCCTGGATTGCGATGCCGTGCTTCTTCTGCAGGTGCACTTCGTAGGGATTTCGGTTCTTGAACACCTTGCCGCAATCGAATTCGCAACGATATTCGCGTATTGGTAATAGCTCAGAGATATCTGGAATACAAACAAAGTGGTTTTTGTCGTTCTTCTGCATTTTGGACAATTTTCAGTTCCAAATGTCAAGCGAAGGTATCGCACACACCATTCATATGTGTGTACTTGCATATGTGTATGTCCCGATGTATGAATGTATGTACATATGTATGTATGTATCACTTTGAAGTGTTGCCACAATAAATTCTAACGGACTCCATTTCTAACTGCAACAGCCAAACTGTTAACAAGTTTTAAACAATATTGTTACATACATACATATATATGTATATGCATACACGCACAGTTAATTCAGCTCATATATTATTGGCAAATATATATGTATTTGCTGGAACGAGCATCAGCTCTTACCTATGCTTGAATTTGTTTGCCACTCTTATTCAAATTTGTCGTATTCTAAAACAGTGCTGTACAACGACGAAAAGCAAGCAGCTTTCAGTGGAACTAATGGAAGAGGGACACATACACAAACACATACATGCATCTCCATGGACATATGTATGTATGTATGTATGTATATGGCTGATGGCAATTCGGGAGGAATATGCAATTTCATATGTATGTATGTATATATAATTAAATTAATATATGCATACTTGTGGAACTACATTTACATATGTATGTATGTATGTAAAAGTAGCTAGTTTGCTAGTTATACAAATACATATGTATGTATGTACATTCATACTCATACATATGTACATGTGTATGAATTTGAATGGACTGCTCAGTGCTGTAAAACACACAGAAACAGTTGTGTACGGTATGTTATTTAAATACATACATACATATGAATGTACCTAAATGTAAATATGTACATATATACATATAATTGTTATGGATGCAATGGAATTAATATGTACATACATAGTACATATGTACAATCCAAGCTATCTACATATCTATACATATGTACATACATACATATGTACGTATGTATGTTTTTGTTATTTTTATTTTATGCAAATGTCCAGATGTTTAACAATTTTCATAAATTTATATACATATGTACATATGTATGTATGTATGTACATATTTATTTTAGGTTTGTTAAGATAAGTATGTACATACATATGTATATACATATGTACAGTATGTCCATTAATTGTTTGCAAAACAAAAAAAGTCGTACAAATTCAACTTTAATATCATATTTTATTAGGAAAGGCCTCTTTCTCAGAATTTTTTTTTACATATGTACATTATTTTTGCTTCATGTATTCTTAACGAAAATAAATAACAAAAACAATAAGAATAGGTACAAAAACATACAAAATTATTCAAAACAAAAAAAAATCAGCAAATAATAGCTGTCTATTAATTCTTTGCAAAATGAATGTACATAGATATGTATGTATGTATGTATCTATGCATATGAATGTACATAACATGCACGCATACATTTGTATATATAAATGTGCATACATATGTCAGCCATCTAAATGCCTACACACACGCATACTCAGTTACATATTATGTATGTATGTAGGAGTGTCCTTGAAAATCCATACATATTTACATTTAGATGTAATGGACACATGCATGTACATACTTACATACATACATATGTATGTATGCATGCATTTGTACGCATACTTGCTTGTGCATTTCTTTATGCTCAGACCCTTCACGCGCACACGCACACACACTCCTGCACGCATGTTAAAAAGTGTGCGCACTGCGCAGCTTGGTTTGTAGAGTCCACTAATATGTGTGTATATGCAAACATGCGCTTTATACTGTTCGCATACATACATACACACGTAACGGAAAAGAAATTTGAAAGTAGTTTGGTCTGGCAGCAATAGGCCAAAGCATGCACTTGTGTGTGCACACAGTCATTTACCTACAACTTTCTGCTTTCTCGCTCACTCCCACAGAGCAACCTTTACACTTGCTCGCAGGCAAAATTTATATTCAACTAATTAATTTGTTAAATGAAATAAAATTAAGTTGATATTAATATTGAATATTGTTTTAACTTTTTTAATTAACAAACTTCAAATTCAAAGGATTACAAAAAATACCTCAGTCCAGAGTTTCTTATTCGGTTTTAAGAACGCGTAAGTTTAATATATGTTTAAGAAGGCGGCATTTTAAACGAGTCCTCGAAGTCTTTAACCCTACATTTGGAGGCTGGAACATTCCAAGCGCGTCTTGGATCACCTGGAGCTAGATCTTTGCCCATGGGATTGCGATTCGGTTTGGGTTTCCGGCCACCAAGGCTAGGAAAATCTTTAGCTGCATTCAAATCGGCAGAGAAGGCCGAGTGATCAAAGATCTCGTGCTTCACAATGGACTGACCCGAGGTAAATGTTTCGTTGGAGACTTTCCCGGTTGACTTGTTAGTTGTCTTTGAGAAGTTGCTGGATATCCTGGACGAGTTGACGCTCTCATTACCCGGATTAGACACCCGGAATTTCGGCTCCTGCTTGGGTGGCATGTGTTTGCCAGGCAAAGGTGTGATTGCTAGGTCCCCGCACATGAAGTCGCTAAAGACATAACACCAGCGGCTGATTATAGATTGGGTACAGTACTGGCAGCGATCGATATCCTCATGATACTAAAAACAAATGCAATAGTGAAATAATTGCCTTTGGGAGGATTCATATTTCTATCCCACCTGACACGAAATTCCCAAGTGGTAGCAGAAGTAGTCGTTTATAAAGAGACTGTCAGTGGCGGTCCTATTTACAGTAACGTTCCGAATATCCACACTGTCCAAGACCTCCAGCTTGAGCACGTACAGCAGGTATTGTATGTCGTAAATGTGGATCGTAGCCAGCGGCTCCTCGCTGTCGCTCTCCAGGTAGCGGAAGCAGCCCTTCACTATTGGCATAAATTCGGGGGTAGCGAAGACCACGAGAGGATCATTGGGCTTGGCATCCGGATTGCAGGCGCGCAAGTACTCCACGATGTTCGCATAGAGTCTGCCTATGTCCGATTCACCCATAGCATTCGGCGGCAATGGCAACTGATGCGTATGCTTTGTGTGGTGCATTGTCTCGCTGCCCTGACCAAAAATCAGCTGACCTAAGAGATCGAGAGCGGAGAGAGCATCAGAATCGTTCGCATAGAGAGATCTGCTGCAACTCACCCGGATCGATGTGCGAACTGTACATCGAGCAAATGCCAGACTTCAACGAGAACTGACAAGCCGAAAACTCGGCCGGAATATAAATATCATTTGTCATTGACTTCGTAAAGTAATTAAATGCAGCAAAAATAAATTTCGTGCTCTCCAGATCTGCAGAGGAGCAAGCAAACAGAATGAGCATCAGACAAAGAAGGAAATCTATGAGCCTATGGCCTCACCATGACGCTTCTTGCCAGCCAGCACTATGCGCTCCGTAGTGCGCTTCATGTTCAACTCACGCTCAGCCGCCTCCATTTCCTCGCGTTCCAGCGCGGATAGCGACTGGCCATGGCAGTTGAGGCGCTCCACCTGGCAGCGCGCTGCCACTTCAGCGTTTTTGGCCATCTTATTGTACGGTCCGCGTTGTTGCGTATTCATATTCTATTCAGCATTTATATTAATTATGACTCCTGATATATGTACATAATTATTCTGGTACTCACTTTCCATTTTTCGCCACA